ATATCTACGCATACAAGCTCGTCGGTTAAGGGTAAGTACTCCTAATCTGGCCAATTTGACTAACTTGGCCTTTCAATGTATCGCCGATTTGGTCGATAAATCTTCGTCTAGGGCGTCCCTTCCCGACTCTGCCGTTCACTTCTGCAACATAAATTTGCTTTGTCACTCTTTCCTCGTTCATTCTTTCTACATGACCAAACCACCGAAGCATTTCAACGTCATCTTACAAACCACACTTTTCTCTTATCACACTATTTCTCACCCTGTCATTCAGATTCAGCCCTAGCATAGTACTTAATGACCGCATTTCTACAGTATTTATTCTACACTCATGCTTCTTCTACCAGACCAAACTTTCACTACCATACATTAATGTAGGGACTAACACAGCATTATAAATTGCCACACGTGCCTTATTTGACACATTCGGACTCTTCATAATAGCGTGTATAGCCCCATATATTTCCTGCATTCACTCGTCGTTCTATATCCTTATCCTATCTACCAACCCTGCTAAATTGCTTGTATGAAATAAATGACAAATGATATTAACTAACAATCCATCTGCTTTTCACTATGGGATCTACAGTAGTGAATTTATGGTAGGTGAAGCCGATGCTTTCAGAGCTATGCAATGGGACACCATCGCATCCCATCGCATAGCTCTGAAAACAAACTAAACACAAAATAAAATTCTACGGCCGCATTATGCGGCTTTGTTTAGTATAGTGGATGTTGAGGTCTGGAGACATTTTTCATTTTATCCAATCAAGAGTGGATTTCATTGTATGAAATAATTTAAAATTAAAAATTTTGTACAACCGACTTCAATATAAATTATTAAGTATAACTCAAAAACTATTGGTCAGAAATTGATCAAATTTATATGTAATCACATGTGAAGCACCAACTTTCAAATAAAAAAAAGAGTCATCGAAATCGGTTCATCCAGTAAGAAGTTATGAGGTAACACACATAAAAAAAACATACAATCGAATTGAATACCGTCTCCTTTTTGAAGTCGGTAGATAAATGATATATATTAACTTATTATACTCGTATTGAATCAAAAAATCTCTCTGCCTTCCACGCTTAATAGTTTCCCTGACCGCCAAAAACACAATAGTTAAACTATCGAAATGTTCATTTAATGATTCACAGGACAGTGAAATGGTTAAGTGTGATCGTCTGTATTTATTTCTGAAACATACTAATGGGTACTTAAGCACAACGTAAGTGGATTATACAAAGGAAAATAATGATCAATTACTTCGCGCCATCGACCCCGCGATGAATTGTTCAATGACTAATTTGTTGCTATATTATTAATCTGACGCGGTTTATCCGTGAATAGTTAGTCGTTAACCAGTTTTTTGGATCACATGACGTTTGTTTAACTAATTTGTAGTGTTGAGTGTCAATAGATTTAAAAAGAACAAATGCCCGGTCGATTTAACGTAATTTTTTTGAACTGCAAAGGTAGAAAGTTTTAAATTGGATGTTATTAAAAATTATTTCGATTTAAAAAAAATGTAATAAAAATTAAATGTTAGTATGTGTTAATATATCGTTGATTTAAAAAGAACGTTGTTAATGAAATCCCACTATGTTAATTTCATAATTAGGTTATAGCGTTCGGTTTGGAGTCCGCTTTTAGCACTATTACTGCCAGTGAGTAATAGGTCTTATGATGGAATCAGATTTGTTATTAGTGGCAATTAAGTATCTGTGATGTAATTTCGTGCCAGCGTTCATTATATATAACTGCGCTTACATAAATAATTCGTGTAAAAAAGTTTTTAAGGTTTTTTTTTTTAATTTATGTAACAAGCCAAGAAAATGTTTAGCTGAAGTATCTTCAAATTTCATAATATAACATAATTTAAAAATATAATTGTACAGTTACTAATTGTTTTCGTAATGAATTTAAAATGTGAAAACGGTATACCAAGTGGCAAAGTGAAATGTTTCTGGTGCATTTTCTATTTGGACTATTTTATTTACGCCCTCTTTATAATTATTTTAGTGGGCCTTTTCATTTATTTCATGCTAACAACATAGCGTAGTCAAAAAAGTTAGCTCATGTCTTAAACCGCGACATAGGCTGAATCGAGCATTGCAAGTGCCATTTTTGGATGTGAGGCTGTGAAAAAAATCACTATGATTTTATGTGAGTATATTTACGATATTAAATTATTAATTTAAAATATTAATAAAAAAAAATTATGACATTAAAAGTTATTATTACAATGAAGTGACATTAAGCAATATAAAGTGAGCATATTTAACAGTAGGATTGCCAACTCTCCTGTCCAGTGTGGTTCTCCTGTCCAGTGTGGTTCTCCTGTCCAGTGTGGTTCTCCTGTCCTGTTTTTGGAACCGTATTTTGTGGCATTCTTTTGGGATTCACTGCAGTGAACTTGTGGTAGGTTGCATAGTACAGGTAACATAAACAAACACAGAATACAAGCGTATATGGTCGCATAATGCTGCTTCATGTTGTATGGTGAGTGCAGTTCAACTTGATCCTTATGGGTAACAACGCATGTGCATTTTGGAACGAAGTTCTTTATCGGACGGTACGGGTTTGGCGGATGGGAGCTAGGCAACAAAAAGTGTAAGATTTTTTCGTCACTACCGTTGTGTCATAGTGTAGACGGCCTTGGCGACGAAATAAGTAAGTGAGATGGAATAATATCCATCTCCCTCGCACTTTTTCTTATCTTGCCATTAAAGAAATATTATTTTATTTCAAATGACGCTTCATTTTAATAGACGCTAGTAATTCATTTATTTGTATTTGTTAATCAATAATATAATACCTGTTTATCAATTATAATATACTACGCAAGGAACTTCGTTCCAACCGAGTGTTCCACGACACTCACGCATTTTTTATTATTTGTATCATATACCTAAGCGATGATGGATGTGGTAAGTGGATAATGCTGGCCATAGACACCCGCTATGTTCAGCAGTATCCACTTACCGTGATCTGGACTGGACTGTGGGCTTGTTTAATATTCTTATTTCTAAAAGATAAAATAACAAAAAAGCCTTTCAGCATACAGCAGGACCTTTCCAATACTGTTTCGCCTGGCATGCATTATTTCAAATGTTCTAGCCATGTAGATTGTTAAATAGCAGCAGACGTTCTCACAAGTGAACTATGTTTTTATGAGTTAGCCTAGCCTAGCCATTTCTTTCAAAATTTTCCATCTTTACCTATATTTTTAGGCTAAATGTGGTCTGAGTAAGGAGACAAACAAACACACTGTCCTCTAGATGGAAAGTGGATGCTGTGGGCCATAGACATCTACATTTATCCTCGATTAAGAATCAAAATACAGAAGCGTTGTCACCCCTGAGAACTAAGATGGAATGCCTGTTTTCCAGTAAAGAGGGCTCCGGTTCTCTACACTCACCATACGAAACACAGCAGCGTTAAGCCGCTATTTTACACTGGTATTCTGTGAGAGCGTGGGCCTTCCCCGATAGAGTCGACACATTCGTGCTACAACGACATTATAGCTATAGCATGGCTCTACCACGTATAAATCACTGCTCCTTGGACTCTGCCTACTTCCTCGGGGATTTGTTGATTGATATTGCTGTTTCCATTACCAGTCAGTCGAGATTCCATTATCAGTAAAATGAGTTTAAGTTTAAAATATTTGAATATTTAGCCACATGTCCATCGATAAAGTATAGTAACAGGGTTAACCATCGTTAACGCTGATAGAAATCTAAAAAAATAAACGGGAATGATTACGAATACCTTTATTTGTGGTAAAAAATAAAATTAAGATGCTACATGGAAAGTGAGTGACATTTAATTCGACTTCAAATGGAGGAGATTCTCCATTCGTCTGTATGTTTTTGTAGATAATATGTTAAGTGATAATTTTTCTAATCGTGAACCAAATTATATATCTTCAAATTTTTATTATATCCTCAAATACATGTTTTCGTAATATTCTAAATTAGCGGCTAAAGTTGAACAATTTTCGTTATATTATTTAAGAGGAATGAACTCCGGATGTTCGCGTTCAATGACTTGTTAAACGTCTTTTACTTAAACGCACGTTAAAGTTTTTTCTTTGTATTAGAATTATTAACTCGTTTCGTGATATTATTTTTACGTACACAGCTGAAGAATAAGGGAACATACATCCTATTTACGGTGAATGCCATTGAAATGTCTCTGCCGCAGCCAGACTGTATCGTCACTGGTACGAAAATGTGGTGCGTCAACCAGATCACCACGTCTTCATCAATGTACACATGTCATACTCGCAAGTACTATTGCTTAGTGCTCGTGAAGCCAATGACAGACCTCAATCAGCTGAAGTGTTAGCTATTGTGTTAGTTATTTGCCACTCTATTGTTATAAAAAGAGGCATTTTTAACAGCATGGGATTAGAATAGAAGTATTTTATAAGCCCATTAAAATTCGCCTTTCTAAAAGTGCTTACCTATGGAATTATTCTGTATTTTATGTCGTACATTAACAGTTTCTAATTGTAATTTGAGTATGCCACTGTGATCAATACGGTTAACTTTTCAATCTTAGAAATTGTCATCAATAAACTTTAATGGATTAGAAGTTTATCAATGTCTATCAAATATGTGCAAACAAATAATAAGGCTACGAACATTAAAGTAATTAATTTATCAAAGCTATGGTGAATGCAGCATTATTCTAATAGTTTTCTATATCGTAGGTACGACACTCGTGGCAGCTTTGTACACACAAACTAGTTGTCGTTATTAAGATTCTATCAGGAAAAATGAGACATAAGCAAAACAATTCACATAAATATTTGTGCAAAAAAAATATAATGTGTATGAGACCGTTGTTGGCAATTGAATACTTTTATGGAATATTTAGATTTCCCATAAATGATTTTTTTCTTCATATAGACATACGAATAAAATTGCTCAGTTTATTGATTAGTTCAACGTGGGTTACAAGTTACTTTATATTTTGTTTTGCACCAATGACAAGGCCCGTCATGGCGACTACAGCAGACTTTGTGGATGAAACAGGATGGATTACAATCGCCATTCAGTATCTGATGACGACGCTAATATTGGTCCTATTTCAAAACAAAACCAATAAAATCATTGTGGAAAAGTTTGCTGAGATCGACTGTGCACTACAAACAATTATTAATGACGATTTCTACAGCAAGTCACGCAAAGATGCGAATAAGTTTACAATTTTATATTTTGTATCTTGTATATTGTTAACAGTATTTGCTATAACCCTAGAACGTGATTTCCCAATACAATATTTAATTTATTTAGTGATTTATTTTGAACGAAAAATAGAGGTGTTTATGTTTTGCCAAATTATTTCCATGCTGAGGCAAAGAATTTTGGTAATAAACAGTTATTTCGAACATTTTTTTAAAAACCGCAGAACAGCAGAAAAATCGGACATCAACAATCAAGCATGGGCTAAAGGAAGTATCAAATTCATAGGACAGGTCTCTTTAAAAAAGTTGAAAATGCAAAAGCTAGTTAATGCCTACAATAAGGTGGGAGAATTATGTTATTCGATTAACAGTGTTAGCAATGTTTTTCTCCTAATGACTTTTATATCTGCATTTATTTATATAATCTGTACGTTCTGGTCATCTTTGTACTATCTTAAATCAAATAAAAGTTTCACATCCTTGTTAAGAGTTATCGTCTTCAGCGGCGCTGAACTAGTCTCAATTAGTAGCATATCTTTCTACTGCGAAAGTATTCTTGTAGCAAAAAATATATTAAAAGCCTATTTAAACAAAACAATCAATGATTACAGTTTACCAAAACATACGAGGATGCAAGCAAAAACTTTTCTTGAAATAACGCTAGTGTGGCCTCTGCACATTTTTGTTTTCGACATGTTTCCAGTTAACCTAAAATTAATACTTGATTTCATAAGCGTGTGCACTTCTTACTTAGTTATTGTCGTTCAAATTTCTCACCTTATGTAAAAATGCTTAGCCTTAATAGGCGATATGTCTCAGTTACATATTATGTCTTCAGAAATTTAAATTACAATAAGTCAAATATGTGACTTAATAAACTTTAATACTTAATACGTGTGAGTATCCTGGGGAGCACAAATATTTCTAAAGAAGTGTACACCATTACTGTATATAAAAAAGAAAAGGCAGTTGATGTTATATATATATATATATATATATATATATATATATATATAAAAGTATATAATTTATTAAATTTAGTTATCTAAGTCACTTGTCACTAATTTTAACCACGTGATGGGTTGACTGGCACAGAATGCCGGCAGATATCTATATGGTCAGTTAGTACAATAAAGTTTATAGATAAATAAATAAATATAAAAGCTTATCACAAGATTTAACTATTTTATCAAAAAATATAATATTTTTCTTAATTTCGAGACAAGCTTTTATATCATATTAATTGTGTAATGTAATAAATTTTTTTTTAAAACGTTACCCCCACACTAGGATTTTCTCCTGTGTCGTGGAGGCAGTTTACAAACATAAATTGCACAAGGACAAACATCCAGACCCGGAACAATTATTTGTAGGCCATACAAATACTTGTTCCGTGCGGGATTCGAACCCGCGGCCCCCAGCGCAACAACTGATTGCTAAGCCACTGCGCCACGGAGCCGTCAATGGATGGGTTTTATTTAATTTAAAGTTTATTTACTTCTCTTTTAGCGTTTAAATGAAAGCTTTGTTATAAAAATTTTTTTTTTCATTTTATTTACTATATCTAGTTAAGAAATTTATACCCTTTTACGTTTGTCGGATTTATTTGACTAGGCATTCCAACTGAAAATTCAGTACTTTCAATACTCGATTGTTAACAGATATCGATTCTATAGACTAGATAGAGATAACTATAGTAAAACCATTATACGTGGTAGAGACACGCTGCAGCTATATTAGTAGTATATTTGTAACCCGAATGGGTCGCCTCGACCGGAGAAGGACCACACTCTCACAGAATACAATACAATACACTGCTATATTTCGTATAGTGAGTGTAGAGAACCGGAGACCCTTTTTATTGGGAAAGAGGCATTCCGCCTTAGTCCTCACGGGTGACAACGCAACTGGAATTTGATTCTTTATTGGGGATATAATATGTAGATGTGTTACTTACTACACTTACCATCAGGTAGACTGTGTGCTCGTTTGTCAACCTATCCTATAAAAAAAAACTCAAAAGCCTTTCATTTTTCTACCGACTACAAAAAGGAGCCAGTACTCAATTCGACTGTATGTTTTTTTATGTGTGTTACCTCATAACTTTTTATTGGGTGAACCGATTTCGATGATTCTTTTTATATTTGAAAGCTGGTGCTTCATATGTGTTTCCCTATAAATTTGATCAAGGTTTGACTTAAAGTTTTTTGAGTTATTTTTAATAATTTTTTAATAATTGACAGTCGGTTGTACAAAATTTTTAATTTTAAATTATTTTTTTATAATGCATTCAAAATGTTTGTCTCTTTCATGGTCGTCCATAACAATTTTCTTTGTTGTATTTTCTACAAATCCTCCTCGAGCGGATCCCTTTTCACAAATTATGAGGCGTCCAACCTTTACCATGAGCACGTGTCATTTGTCCATGTCTGCGGCACAGTGTGGTTGGGGTTAAGCCATGTTGCATCAAGGAATATAACGTTGTTCCTATTGATTATGTTTTTAATTTCTGTCTTATTTTGTGTTTGTTAATGTTTTTATATGAAGCAATTTCAGAAAATGGTTATTAATGACTAGACATCGGATTTTATGCATTTGCATATGCACATATGCCAATGCATGTAACTCTCTAATTACTGCGTTAATGCATATTTGAGCCTTTTTTTCCAATCATGCATATTTTGATTAGTAACGGGAGTTACGATAGAAACCTGGGTGACAAAGATGTGTAGGGCGCGAGTAGTAGTAGAGTAAATTTTGTACAATGACGTCAGTTGATGTAGAGAGGTCGTTTTCGGTCACAGATTACCCCCTAATAGATTCCGCATATAGGGCCACAACCGCGCGCAACACATACTTACTGTAGCTAGCATACGAAGTGACTCTAAGAAAAACTAATTCGATCACGAAAGTTGTAATCATGTCATTTATTTAGCTAAGAGTGTCATGGAAAAATACATAGACAAAAGATTACTCTACTCATCCAAGGAGACAGATCCTAAGAATTCTGTGAGACAATTTTATACTAAGCTTATCCATTTTAAAAATCAGTCAAATAATATATTTATAAATTAAATGTACAAATATATGTATAAGTACATTGTTTTATTTGTTAATATACATCAAATAAAAATTGATTAATATATTTATTTATCAATAATCAATACATCCCAAATTTATCGATCAACGTCCCAACCCTGTTCCATCACTACGGTTTGGTGCATTCTAAGTTTGACCTGTAAATGTCCAATCACAACGCATTTGACACGTCCCCCTCAACCCTTGCATACCGCCACATTTGGTGAAATCAAAACAGAAGAAATATTCAATGATGCGGTATCTATTAGGTGGTAATCTGTGTTTTCGGCGTACAAATTGATACTGGGTGACAAACGTCACAAATTTGCGTTCGAAAATTTGGAAAAATACTTAATTGTATATTGTCATAAAAACTATGCATAATTTTTTGAAAATTTCGCTGTTTTTGTATCATCTTTAATTAAAATATATTAAAATTAAAACGGTGTTTTGATTTTGCATTGTGCATATTTTAGGCATGTAAACAGTTTTATATGATATATGATGACATACGGAACTGAGACGTGGTCCTTCACTGCTGGCCGGATGAGGAAGCTCAAGGTCGCTCAGCGAGCTATGGAGAGGGCTATGCTCGGAGTTTCTCTGCGTGATAAACTCAGAAATGAGGATATCCGCAGTAGAACTAGAGTGACCGACATAGCCCAACGGATTAGTAAGCTGAAGTGGCAATGGGCCGGCCATATAGCTCGAAGAACCGACAACCGATGGGGAAGAAAGGTTCTCGAGTGGCAGCCTCGTATCGGCAGGCGAAGTGTAGGGCGTCCCCCCACTAGATGGAGTGACGACCTGGTAAGATATGCAGGAAGTCGATGGATGCAGGTGGCTCAGGACCGTGCTTTGTGGCATTCTTTGGGGGAGGCCTATGTTCAGCAGTGGACTTGTGAAAGGCTGTAATGATGATGATGATGATGAAACAGTTTTAAGTGCATATTTCGGCCTTTTTTAGTGCATCTTTGCATGCATATTTTGGCACTTTGTTAGTGCATATAATCCGATGTCTATTAATGACTTATACTACCATTATAGAAGCCGGCATATACTAAACTAACTTCACCACAGTGAGATTCACAGAAATTATTTAAAAAAATAAATTTGTTAAATTCATGATTCATATAATTTAGGTCAGTATTTCCCAAACATTGTTCTGCCATGGCCCGGTAATTTTCACACCGTACTGTCATGACCCACTTAATACTTTTAAACCCAAAATGTTTCCATTAAGTAAAATAATAAATAGAATCATTTTTACATTTATTAATAGTAAAAATGATTTAAAAATTAATGTTCACGATGCGTCGATCGATATTAGGTATTATTTTTAAAACAAGGCGAGAATATTGCGACCCGGTATTTTATTTTGATGGCCCGGTACCGGGTCGCGACCCGGCAAATGGGAAACGGTGATTTAGGTCATTATAAAAAAATAATAAACAAATAATAAATTAAAAAATGTAAATTTTGAATCATTTAAATATTTTTCCCGATTGTTCGCATTTTTATTCGGCATAAAAATTTATTGTGGTTATTTTTTTATATTTTGATTTGTTTGAAATATTAGAATTTAAATTAAAGATAAAGAACTATACATGTTGTAATGAAATGTAGATAATTTCATAATAATTTGAATTTACGTAAAAGGTTATTTTAAATTGTGTGAGTACGCCTCTACAAAGTCACTGCGGCATGATTAATGCGAAACATCAAAAGGTATTTCTTAGGGTGCGTACAGATAGTAACATGTTATGTAGCTTGTGTTTTATAACACGTCCACATTATGTTACATTGTTTCTCAACATTATAACATATAACTATACTGTACACATTAGAATAACAATACAATATAATAATGTTATATGACTTTGTCGTTCTCGTTCTGCAGTGTTATTCACAATTAGTACTAAAAGTATCATAAAAACAAGTTCTTTTACCTCTGGAATACCCACCTCTTTTGTAAAGCAAACCTTATTTTAATCCTTTAAAAAGTACACATGTGCGCATAAGTTATATAACATATGTGTCACGTTACGGTGCGTACACATTATATAACATAACATGTCTAAGAATGCAGTTACTTTGTCTAAGGGTAGAATTGTGAAAGTGTCGTCTACGTACTGCTTGTAGAATCTTGGATTTAGGAAAGAAGTAAGCAGGGCTTTCTCCTCAAAGTCTTCCATGAATATATGACATGACAATGGGAGATACAGGTGAGCCCATCGCCACACCATCTACTTGCTTGTAGAACTCTTCCTTCCACAATAGGTAGCCAGATGTAAGGCAGTGACTGAATAATACTGCATATTCTACGGGCTTGTTGTTTTGTCCCAGCCTTCTAGTTACAATTGCGATGCAGTCCTCAACAGGTAAGCAGTGACTGCACATCAAAATTGACCAAAGTTTCATTGTCTAAAGTTCTTGTATTTTAGAATTATAATCTGACATATCCATGACTACCGTGGATTTTCCCTTACCTGCGCGGAGCATCATGAGTTCTAGTTTATTGCGTAGGTTATTCAACGCTTTAAATTCATCTTTGGGTAGATTCGGTTTGTGGTTTCGGCGCTGAACTTCGACGTAACATAAACGAAATGTCTTCACGTATCGCCTCCAAATCTTCTCTTCGTGTATTGTTTTTAAACAGTCCTTGACAATACAGATAATTTCTTCGTACGGTAATATTGGTGATGGTATAGCAAAATGTAATAAAATAAGTTAATATATGCGATAAAATCCAGAAAGATATTGTTTAATTTAAATGTATAGTAGAAAATGTAGTAGATTAACAACAGTGATAATTTCCATCATTTTTTATATAGTCACAGATAACTAGTTTCAAAGTATAAAAACATTAAACATACATATAGGTATACCTAAAACTAATTTACAATACCAGTTGTTTGTTCTGTTAACACAACATACGGGATCTTTTTCCTTATTTTGAAATAGATTCGTCCGTGCTACGGTAAGCATACGTTTATAAATATAATAGCAAGCAGTCAGTGATTGCAGAAGCAGATATCTAGCAGCCCCAGAGAAGTGTTTTTTTTTTCATAAGACGTGAGCAAGGAAAGAACTTTCTCTAGTAATGTCGACGTTCCGTTGATGTACAAGCTCCCTCACTTCTCAATAAGTACTTTGAAAGAAATGTCTATAGGAATAATTCAATTTGGACTTAGTACTCATCCATAAATGTGTTGCGGACCTTGCGAGGGTGGATGCTGTGGTGGGTGCAGCGGACACTGTTGTCCATGCATCACTATCTACACGTGCTATACGAAGATTCTTTAAGAATGTGTTGTCATGGCAAGTGTATGCAACACTTCGTCTCACCATTTATTTTAACTGATGCCGTTACATGAAATAAATAAGTATGTATAAGCATAAGCAGGATCGGAGGAGAGGTAGGATACTGTTTTGAATGAATCATTATCATTACAGCTCTACACAAGTTTACAGCTGAACATAGGCCTCCCCCAATTTTTTTCAATTTATTTTTTATTTTTATAGAATAGGGGTGTCAAACGAGCATACAGTCTACCTGATGATAAGTGGATGCTGTGGCCCATAGACATTTATTCGATCAATTAAGAATCAAAATGCAGATATGTTATCAATCTTGAGGACTACGATGGAATGCTTCGTTTCCAGTAAAAAAGGATCTCCGGTTCTCTACACTCACCATACGAAACACAGCAGCATGAAGCTGCTATTTTACGCTGGTATTCTGTGACCCATTCGTGCTGCAACCATCATTTTGCTGCAGCGTGGCTCTACAATATGTATATATATATATATATATATATATACATACACTACATGTATATATATACACTATATATATAGTGTAAACTATATCTCAAATAAAAGTTCTATACAATGTATAGCAAAGTCAACTAAATTAAGTACAATGTGAACAATGACGCTGTGTCCACAAAAAATGTATTAACGAGCTGGTGCTAAATGCTTAATTAAACAAAGATAATCCCACACTGATGCTACTGTGACCTTGTGCGATATACTCGTAAAGCATACACCAGCCGTACAGCGCACCGGTTTGAGTACATCTTACAACTATTTATTTCTGAAGAGTATACATATAATAAAGAGAGTACATATAAGAAACATTTTTGCTTGGTAGAGCCATTCTGCAGCTATATTACTGGTCTAGTTGTAGCACGAATGGGTCAGCAGGTCACACCAACCACTTATCATCAGGTGGACTGTGTGCTTGTTTGTCATCCTATCCCACAAAAAAGGTAAGCTTGACCGGGAAGGACCACGCTCTCACAGAATACCAGAGTAAAATAGCGACGTGTTTGTGTGAGTGTAGAGAACCGAATACTTAATAGTTTGAGGTTTATACCAACATCGAATAATTGTTTCGTCGTTTCCACTAATAGTTTTCATGCCAGACAGTTAATACACATAATCACATCATTTTTACAAAGTCAAATACACTTCAAACAATTATTTATACGAGAACCGAGGAACAACAATCCGCCAGTGGACAAATTCCCGCCAATGCTTCGTAAAGTAATTTTGTGGTTATGTTTTGTAGCACGAATCTTTGATAGTGCGTTCCATTTGTGAAACTGTACTGGAGTAGATGTCATTAACCTTTTGTATTATGTAATAACTAATAACATTAACTAAACATTAAATTGGGTACTACAATAATTATGTAACGCATCAAAGTAATAGAGCAAGATAAATTCTGCCGACAGAAGGTCTCTGGCAGTATTTGTTTCAAATTGTTTACAATATTCTACAATAAATGTAAGAATCAGATGCAGAAGAAGTGAGTGCAATTTTTACGTACCTGTAACACCTGGTACCTGAGAATTGGTCATCGGCCTAAGCTTCGTTCACTGTACAGTGTACACACACACTAATACTACTCTATTGTATATACAGTAAAACTTGGTTAAGTGGGACCTGGATAAGTGAGAAACTTCCATAGCTGGAACTCACGCTTAAGTCCCGACACTTTAGCACTGAAAAACCTCTGTTATTGGGACAAAACAAACCTCTATATCTGGGATTAGTTCTTTCGATTGTATCGTCATAATTACCTTTATATTTGAAACAGCGATTGTATTTTACCTCTTTTACTGAGATTATATTTTGTTTTATAGGATTGAGTGACAAACGAGCACACAGTCCACCTAATGGTAAGTGGTTGCTGTGGCCCATAGTCATCTACATCTATCCTCGTTTGCGAATCAAAATGCAGATGCGTTGTCACTCGTGAGGACTAAGATCGAATGCCACTTATCCAGTAATAAGGGTCTCTGTTTCTCTACACTCACCATACGAAACACCCCGGTAGAGTCGACACATTCGTGCTACAACGTTATTATAGCTACAGCATGGCTCTACCACGTATAGATCACTGCTCCTTGGACTCTGCCTACTTCCTCGGGGAGTTTTTGTAACATATTGCTGTTTCCATTACGAGTCAGTCGAGTTTCCATTATCAGTAAGTTGAGTTTAAGTTTAAAATATTTGAATATTTAGCCACATGTCCATCGAAAAAGTATAGCTACAGGGTTAACCATCGTTAGCGCTGATAGAAATCTAAAAAAATAAACGGGAATGATTACGAATACATTTTTTGTAGAAAAAAATAAAATTAAGATGCTACATGGAAAGTGAGTGACATTTAATTCGACCTCAAATGGAGGAGATTCTCCATTCGTCTGTATGTTTTTGTAGATAATATGTTAAGAGATAATTTTTCTAATCGTGAACCAAATTATATATCTTGAAATTTTTGTTATATCTTCAAATACATGTTTTCGTAATATTCTAAATTAGCGGCTAAAGTTGAACAATTTTCGTTACATTATTTAAGTGGAATGAACACCGGATGTTCGCGTTCAATGACGTGTTAAACGCATTTTACTTAAACGCACGTTAAAGTTTTTTCTTCGTATTAGAAATATTAACACGTTTCGTTATATTATTTTTATGCACACAGCTGAAGAATAAGGGAACACACATCCTATTTACAATGAATGCCGTTGAAATGTCTCTGTCGCAGCCAGATTTTATCGCCACTGGTACCAAAATGTGGAGCGTCAACCAGATCACCACGTCTTCATCAATGTACACATGTCATACTCGCAAGTACTATTGCTTAGTGCTCGTGAAGCCGATGACATATCTCAATCAGCTGAAGTGTTAGCTTGTTTTCCACTCTATTGTTATAAAAAGGGGCATTTTTAAAAGCATGGGATTAGGATAGGAGTATTTTATAAGCCCATTAAAAGTCGCCTTTCTAAAAGTGCTTACCTATGGAATTATTCTGTATTTTACGTCGTACATTAACAGTTTCTAATTGTAATTTGAGTATGCCACTGTGATCAATACGGTTACCTTTTCAATCTTAGAAATTGTCGTCAATAAACTTTAATGGATTAGAAGTTTATCAATGTCTATCAAATATGTTCAAACAAATAAAAAGGCTACGAACATTAAAGTAATTAATTTATCAAAGCTATGGTGAATGCAGCATTATTCTAATAGTTTTCTATATCGTAGGTACGATACTCGTGACAGCTTTGTACACACAAACTAGTTGGCGTTGTTAAGATTCTATCAGGAAAAATGAGACATAAGCAAAACAATTCACATAAATATTTGTGCGAAAAAAATATAATGTGTATGAGACCGTTGTTGGCAATTGAATACTTTTATGGAATATTTAGATTTCCCATAAATGATTTTTTTCTTCATGTAGACATACGAATAAAATTGCTCAGTTTATTGATTAGTTCAACGTGGGTTACAAGTTACTTTGTATTTTGTTTTGCACCACTGACAAGGCCCGTCATGGCGACTACAGCAGACTTTGTGGATGAAACAGGATGGATTATAATTGCCATTCAGTATCTTATGACGATGCTAATATTGGTCCTATTTAAAAACAAAACCAATAAAATCATTGTGGAAAAGTTTGCTGAGATTGACTGTGCACTACAAACAATTATTAATGACGATTTCTACAGCGAGTCACGCAAAGATGCGAATAAGTTAACAATTTTATATTTTGTATCTTGTATATTGTTAACAGTATTTGCTATAACCTTAGAACGTGATTTCCCAATACAATATTTAATTTATTTAGTGATTTATTTTGAACGAAAGATAGAGGTCTTTATGTTTTGCCACATTATTTCCATGCTGAGGCAAAGAATTTTGGTAATAAACAGTTATTTCGAACATTTTTTTAAAAACCGCAGAACAGCAGAAGAATCGGCCATCAACAATCAAGCATGGGCTAAAGGAAGTATCAAATTCATAGGACAGGTCTCTTTAAAAAAGTTGAAAATGCAAAAGCTAGTTAGTGCCTACAATAACGTGGGAGAATTATGTTATTCGATTAACAGTGTTAGCAATGTTTTTCTCCTAATGACTTTTATATCTGCATTTATTTATATAATCTGTACGTTCTGGTCATCTTTGTACTACCTTAAATCAAATAAAAGTTTCACATCCTTGTTAAGGGTTATCGTCTTCAGCAGCGCTGAACTAGTCTCAATTAGTAGCATATCTTTCTACTGCGAAAGTATTCTTGTAGCAAAAAATAGATTAAAAGTCTATTTAAACAAAACAATCAATGATTATAGTTTACCAAAACATACGAGGATGCAAGCAAAAAGTTTTCTTGAAGTAACGCTAGTGTGGCCTCTGCACATTTTTGTTTTCGACATGTTTCCAGTTAACCTAAAATTAATACTTGATTTTATAAGCGTGTGCACTTCTTACTTAGTTATTGTCGTTCAAATTTCTCACCTTATGTAAAAATGCTTAGCCTTAATATGCGATATATCTCAGTTACATATTATGTCTTCAGAAATTTATATGTGTAACATTCTTTGTTCGAAGCTGTTTGTATTTGTCCGTCGGTTAACATTGTATGGAGCTCGTTTGTGTGATATTTAAAAAAGTGGTAAAAAAATTGCAATAAGTCAAATATGTGATTAGTATACTTAATACGTGTGAGCACCCTGGGGAGCACAAATATTTCTAAAGAAGTGTACACCATTACTGTATTTAAAATGGAAAGGCAGTTGATATTACATATATATATATATATATATATATATATATATATATATATATATGTGTGTCCATAAATATACATATATATGTATGTAAGTGTGTTAAAGATAGTTGATATATATACATATAGTTTATAATGTATTCGTTTGAATTCATATGATTAGTATTCTATTTATTAAATTTAGCTATTTAAGACACCTGTCACTAATTTTAACCACGTGATGGGTTGACTGGCACAGAATGCCGGCAGATATCTATATGGTCAGTTAGTAGAATGAAGTTTATAGATAAATAAATAAATATAAAAGCTTATCACAAGATTTACCTATTTTATCAAAAAATATAATATTTTTCTTAATTTCGCGACAAGCTTTTATATCATATAAATTGTGTAATGTAATAAATGGATGGGTCTTATTTAATTTAAAGTTTATTTACTTCTTTTTTAGCGTTTAAATGAAAGTTTTGTTTTAAAATATTTTTTTTTCAATCAATTTACTACATCTAGTATGAGTGTTACCATAATGCTAAGGTAACATTCATTGCTATGCGGATGACAGCACTGGTGATGCGTTATACATCGGCCGTGCCAATATTTCTCGGGAAAACGTCGCAGAGTACCAGAACAAACTTGTGTCTGAAGTCGAGTCTTTGCTGAACAAACTAATCTAGTCCAGGGCGACTAAATCTAGTCCAGTTTAATCCTCAAAAGACACAAGTTTGCGCGTTTACCGCTAAAACGACCCCTTTGTCGTATCTCCTCAGTTTCAAGGCACTCCCCTTCTTGCCTCAGCCAGTATCGGTATCTTCGGAGTCGACATATCGAGTGACGTGCAGTTTCGTAGTCATTTGGAAGAGAAGGCCAAATTGGCCTCCAAAAAGCTTGGCGTGCTCAGCAGAGCGGGACAGTATTTCATGCCAGCACACCGCCTGCAACTTTACAAGGCGCAGGTTCGGCCTCACATGGAATACTGTTCCCATCTCTGGGCAGGGGCTCCCCAGTGCCAGCTCCTTCCACTTGACCGCGTCTAGCGCAGAGCGGCTCGAATCGTCGACGACCGAGCCCTTTCCGATCGGCTCGATTCATTTGCACTGCGAAGAGATGTTGCATCCCTTTGCATTTTCTTTCGCATCTACCATGGGGAGTGCTCTGAGGAATTATTCGGATTAATCCCAGCCGCCAAATTTCAGGAACGCACATCGCGGCAGAACTCCCGATACCATCCACACCATCTGGATGATTGGCGGTCCACCACTGTGCAATTTAGAATATGTTTTCTTCCTCGCACGACTTCCTTGTGGAATCGATTACCATCAGCGATTTTTCCGGACCGATACGACTTAGGGACCTTCAAGAAAAGAGCGTACTCCTTTTCAAAAGGCAGGCAACGCATCTGCAATTCCCTCCCTGGTGTTGCAGTTGTTCATGGGCGGCGGTAGTCACTTACCATCAGGTGAGCCGCATGCTCGTTTGCCCCCTCTCCTATAAAAAAAAATCAGTCAAATATATATTTATAAATTAAAAGTACAAATATATGTATAAGTACATTGTTTAATTTGTTAATATACATCAAATAAAAATTGATTAATATATTTATTTATCAATAATCAATACATCCCAAATTTATCGATCAACGTCCCAAACCTGTTCCATCACTACGGTTTGGTGCATTCTAAGTTTGACCTGTAAATGTCCAATCACAACGCATTTGACACGTCCCCCGTAACCCTTGCATAACGGTGATTTAGGTCATTATAAAAATAAAAAAATTAATAAACAAATAATAAATTGAGAAATGTAAATTTTGAATCATTTAAATATTTTCCCGATTGTTCGCATTTTTATTCGGCATAAAAATTTATTGTGGTTATTTTTTTATATTTTGCTTTGTTTGAAATATTGGAATTTAAATTAATGATAAAGAACTATACATGTTGTAATGAAATGTAGATAATTTCATAATAATTTGGATTTACGTAAAAAGTTATTTTAAATTATGTGAGTACGCCTCTACAAAGTCACTGCGGTATGATTAATGCGAAACATCAAAAGGTATTTCTTAGGGTGCGTACAGATTAAGTAACATGTTATGTAGCTTGTGTTTTATAACACGTCCACATTATGTTACATTGTTTCTCAACATTATAACATATAATAATACTGTACACATTAGAATAACAATACAATATAATAATGTTATATGACTTTGTCGTTCTCGTTCTGCAGTGTTATTCACAATTAATAATATAAATATCATAAAAACAAGTTCTTTTACCTCTGGAATACCCGCCTCTTTTGTAGAGCAAACCTTATTTTAATCCTTTAAAAAGTACACATGTGCGCATAAGTTATATAACATTTGTGTCACGTTACGGTGCGTACACATTATATAACATAACATGTCTAAAAATGCAGTTACTTTATCTAAGGGTAGAATTGTGAAAGTGTCGTCTACGTACTGCTTGTAGAATCTTGGATTTATGAAAGAAGTAAGCAGGGCTTTCTCCTCAAAGTCTTCCATGAATATATCGTCAACAATGGGAGATACAGGTGAGCCCAACGCCACACCATCTACTTGCTTGTAGAACTCTTCCTTCCACAATAGGTAGCCAGATGTAAGGCAGTGACAGAGTAATACTGCATATTCTACGGGCTTGTTGTTTTGTCCCAGCCTTCTAGTTACAATTGCGATGCAGTCCTCAACAGGTAAGCAGTGACTGCACATCAAAATTGACCAAAGTTTCATTGTCTAAAGTTCTTGTATTTTAGAATTATAATCTGACATATCCATGACTACCGTGGTATTTCCCTTACCTGCGCGGAGCATCATGAGTTCTAGTTTATTGCGTAGGTTATTCAACGCTTTAAATTCATCTTTGGGTAGACTCGGTTTGTGGTTTCGGCGCTGAACTTCGTCGTAAATTAAACGAAATGTCTTCACGTATCGCCTCCAAATCTTCTCTTCGTGTATTGTTTTTAAACAGTCCTTCACAATACAGATAATTTCTTCATACGGTAATCTTCGTGATGTTATAGCAAAATGTAATAAAATAAGTTAATATATGCGATAAAATCCAGAAAGATATTGTTTAATTTAAATGTATAGTAGAAAATGTAGTAGATTAAAAACAGTGATAAATTCCATCATTTATTTATATAGTCATAGACAACTAGTTTCAAAGTATAAAAACATTAAGCATACATATATACCTAAAACTAATTTACAATACCAGTTGTTTGTTCCGTTAACACAACATACGGGATCTTTTTCCTTATTTTAAAATAGTTTCGTCCGTGCTACGGTAAGCATACGTTTATAAATACAATATAGCAAGCAGTCAGTGATTGCAGAAGCAGATATCTAGCAGCCCCAGAGAAGTGTTTTTTTTTCATAAAACGTGAGCAAGGAAAGAATTTTCTCGAGTAATGTCTACGTTCTGTCGCTGTACAAGCTCCCTCACTTCTCAATAAGTACTTTGAAAGAAATGTCGATAGGAATCATTCAATTTGGACTTAGTACTCATCCATAAATGTGTTGCGGACCTTGCGAGGGTGCATGCTGTGGTGGGTGCAGCGGACACTGTTGTTCATGTATCACTATCTACACGTGCTGTACGTAGATTCCTTAAGAATGTGTTGTCATGGCAAGTGTATGCAACACTTCGTCTCACTATTTATTATAACTGATGCCGTTACATGAAATAAATAAGTATGTATAAGCATAAGCAGGATCGGAGGTGAGGTAGGATACTGTTTTGAATGAATCATTATCATTACAGCTCTACACAAGTTCACAGCTGTACATAGGACTCCCCCAAAGGTTTTTATTTATTTCTTATTTTTATAGAATAGGGGGGACAAACAAGCATACAGTCCACCTGATGGTAAGTGGATGCTGTGGCACATAGACATTCATTCCATCGATTAAAATCGTCAGAATGCCTCGTTTCCATAAAAAGGTTTTCCGCTTCTCTATAGCAACCATACGAAACAGCAGCATAAAGCTGCTATTTTACGCTGATATTCTGTGAGAGAGTTGTCCTTCCCCGGTCGAGTCGACCCATTCGTGCGGAAGTCATAATTTAGCTGGAGCGTCGTTCTACAATACTATATATAAATAGTGTAAACTATATCTCGAATAAAAGTTCTATACAATGTATATAGCAAAGTAAGCTAAACTAACTACAATGTGAACAATGACGCTGTGTCCACAAAAAAAATGTATTAACGAGCTGGTGCTAAATGCTTAATTAAACTAAGATAATCCCACACTGATGCTACTGTGACCTTGTGCGATATACTACACCGGCCATATAAAACATACACCAGCCGTACAGCGCACTGAAGAGAATACATATAATAAAGAGAGTACATATAAGAAACATTTTTGCTTGGTAGAGCCATTCTGCAGCTATATTACTGGTCTAGTTGTAGCACGAATGGGTCAGCAGGTCACACCAACCACTTATCATCAGGTGGACTGTGTTCTTGTTTGTCATCCTATCCCATAAAAAAAGCTATGCTAGCTATACATAATTGCAGCACGAATGTGTCCGTCGGTCCGGTCGGTGAAGGACCACGCTCTCACAGAATACCAGAGTAAAATGGCGACGTGTTTGTGTGAGTGTAGAAAACCGAATACTTTACTTAGGTTTATACCAACATCGAACAATTGTTTCGTCGTTTCCACTAATAGTTTTCATGCCAGACAGTTAATACACATAATCACATCATTTTT